GTTTACATACAGTTTGTTTGAACTCTGGTATAGCCGCACTGAAGAACAGTTTATTCTCTACTGGAGCTGAGCCCACTGGACTAAAGATTAGTCCTCTTTCTTCTACATGCCGCCTCACTTTTTTATATTATTAGAAATATGCACTAGGGAACTGTCCCCAGAAGAGCTCATGAAAATTACCACCATCAAGGCGCCAGGTAGAACACCATAGACCTTTTGGCAAAAATGGATTCAGTGTCTATGATGCTAAGTGTAAAAAAAATGACCAATGGAAAAAAGACCCCACCAAATACTAAAATATATTCCTGACATCTAGTCATGGCAGGAATCTGCTATGTGATTCTGGACAAATCTTTCCACCTCAGCTTCACATGTCACAGGGACCTCTTCCATAATCCAGTCACATACACTGACAATAGGTATTTTCCAATAAGTTAAAAGTTGTTTTTTTTCTTTAAAAATGTCTTTGATACCTCTTGTGATTTTTTTCAAAATGCAGTGTGAACAGAAAGTAGAAGTTCATTTCATAGACTAGCTGGAAATTGATAGATTAGATTTTCTATTTTGACTTGATTCTTGCCATTTAAGAGTCAACATAGGATTATTTCTAGAAGACAATATCAACTACTAGCTAGAGTCAAATTTACACAGCAGGAGTGTTCAGGACTTAAGTGCCTGTAACCTGCCATAGGAAGCCTCTCTAGTTATCAGAATCGTAGTAGTAAAAAGTGATTATGGTCATTTTGCACCATCGTAAGTAATTTATGCATATACTATGCAGCACCACTTTAGATTACAGCAATGATGGAATCTTGTAAACTACTGGAAACGAGACACCAGCAGTCATATTCCTGCATATAACAGTTGATTCTCAAGAGCCTTTCACACAGTAGATGAGAAATTTAACAGGTACTTCAGGAAAGGCAAATACATAATTCTGATTTCTTAAAACTTGCTAGAGTAGATTCGATACTCAAATCCAAATCTCATCAGCAACACTAGCTCTTTCAGTGGAAGAAAGGGGAGACCCTACTGTTGTATCATTTTGCTGGTTTTGTTTGACTAAGCATGCCCTTTCTTTAGATGAGTATTTGCAAAGTCAAGGATGATGAGTACCAGCCAATCTACAGAAATAAAGATATGGGGAAAGCACAGTCTTGCAAGTCAGACAAAGAAGAGGAATCAGACTTCAGCTACCAGCTGCATAGCAGACTGATGCAGCTGGGTCAAGTGACTGATTTTGCCAGTGCTGCACTGAAGGGTTTAACACCAAAGTTTTGTAAAAACAGTTTTTTTTCTTGAAGTGGTAAATCTGCTACCATTATATGGCTGTGCAGTCAAAGCCCAATACTTGCAAGCTATGTTTGAAACCAAATTATTTTTTTATTCTGTATTTTCAACCCTAACACTACATACACCTGCATTTGAAAGAACAGTTTCTAGATCTTGAGTCATTTTCCTACTCTTCTACAGGCAAAAGTGTACACCTGCGATATTCCCAGGTGCATAGAGAGTCTGTGAGGTAAGCTGCACCAGAGACAGGAAAACAGAGAGTAAAGCTTGCCTTCATTCAGCCAAAGAAGCAGCAAGGACAGTCATGGCTACCCAAGAGGTAGAAAAAAACAACAGCTAAGGAATGAAAGAATTTGCCCAACCTGCCTTCTTGGCTATGAGCTTCTTTAAGAAATAAAGTTCCATGCCACACTTGGCAGGTTGACCTTAAGGAGACCCAAGGCCAGAGAATAGGCACAGACTGCCTGGAATCAGGACTAGACACAACAAAATCATGAATTATCAAAACCAAGCAGTTCTGAATGGCTAAGTAAATGTTTGTTTTCAAAAAGGAACCCTTCTAGCCCCCCCAGATTTAACTCTACATGGTAGGAGGGCACAGCAACAGAGTCCATTTTGTAACTGAACACAATGAACTGTTATTAGTGTAAAGTTTGACACCAATGGAAGCAGGGGAGGCACTACTTATAGATAAACCAGATGTATAGCTGTATGCATCCCTGGCACATCTCAATTTTATCTGTCAGTTTTTACTTCTCTCTGGAATTGAGATACACTGAAAACTGTTCTATCCAGTCGTATTTAAGCTGTCAGACACAAGTTTTTCTTTCCACATGCATTTGGTCAGGTCTCCTGGAGAGAAGTCAGAATTCCTGGGAATGACCATCAGCTAAGGAAGGAAGAAAAACAGTGACTTACCTTTAACAAGAACACTATGCAACTGCTGGTCAAACAACATTTCACTGAGAAACTCAAAAACACCACTATAGTTTGCTGAAGATTAAGGAGGTGTTGTGGACTGTAGCTTTGAACTCAGATAAATACCTGTTACTAAGCTGTTTTCTAAGCATGCATGCTTGCAAGCACTCAGAACAGAGGTTGCAGAATGTAAAGCCTCACAAACTTGTTTCAAACAGGATAAAAGAAGTCTGTACGAATGGAAAATATGAAAGGCCTGCCAAAACCCCTAAGCCGTACTTTATGGTGCTACTGTTTTCCCAGTCTCCACGTATCTAGACTTTGCTCTAGAAGTAGTTCTACAGATGTTGATAGATTAAATAGCTCCATTTTCTAAGCAATCTAATGGAGTAAGTAGACTTTCCCTCCAGCTGCCCACTAATAACTGTCAAAGTCATTCTGATTCAACACATTAGAGAGGATAAAACTGAGGAAGTACAATGTAAGCAGAAATAATAGTTGTGTTCTTTATGAAGAGAGAAGGACACACACATAAAAAGCAAAGAAAAACCCTAAGTCAAATAAGTGATCTGTGAAGCAATGTTTAATACCCAAAACTTCTTTCCCTCCTGGTCAGTGACTCTAAGGTAGGCTAAAAGCAAGTAACTAATTCACAAGGTCTGCCTGATCCACAGTTCAAGTTCAGTAGTGCTGAGAATGAAATTAAAATTCTTCCTTCTTACCCATACATCATGCTGATGGACCTCCCAGGTGATTATCACAGCCCAGCAGCACAGGTGTAGATACCACAGGTCTCACAAAGCAAGCTGCTAGAACAGCTTTATAGGTCTGGAAACCATGTTGATGTCCCTGCTCACCAACTCCAGTAACTGAAGGATCACCTTCAAGCCAAAGGTCCATCCTATCAAGCAGGAAATCAAGCAAAGGTGCCTGGGGGCCTGCTTGGATGAACAAGGAATTAAACTCCAACATAAAAACAATGTGTACAGGATCTGAAAGTAGGAATATATAAATTGTGTCCAATCATGCATGGATGAGGTTAGGAAAGCTAAAGCCCACCTGGATTTGAATTTGGTGAGAGATTTGAAGGGCAACAAAAAAGACCTGTACAAACATATTGGCAACAAAAGGAAAACTGGGGAAAACATGAACCCACTGCTGAACAGGGCAGGGAAACTGCTGACCAAGGACACAGAAACAGAAAGGATACTTAGTACTTTCCTTGCCTCAGTCTTTACCAGTACAACTGG